TGTTTCTCCCAAGGGAACAATTAAATGTGTTTTCTTTCAAAATCTAAAGGGCATGGTGAGCAGGCTGTGTGTTCAGCGGGCTACTTTAATCAATGGAACCCATCCAGCCTGCCAATGCTGACCAAATTGCAATTTACATTGGTAGAGAAAATTTTGGAAATGGGAAGGTGTGGAATATAATACCATTTTTGGAATAACACAGTATGCAGAGTGTAATGTGGTTTAATGGTTTTTGAAAAAGCTTTGTGAAAAAGCTTTGAAACCTTAAAAAAAGGCAATAAGACTGCAAATTACAGCAAGATCTGCTTGAACAGGGAAAGACATGGTATATGCACAGGACTTCTGAAGCCCACACATCTCATCTAAGCTTTATTACAAGGACTCAAGAGGGGCTAGATTTTGCAAGGCACCTTATCCACCCTTTAACCCCCTATGCTCAGTTGTCTTTTCTCATGTATACATAAGAATTTGAGCCAGATGAGACCAATAACATTTAAACCTTTTTTTTTTTTCTTCTTTTTTTAAGCTGAGAACAACTTTAGCTTCATTAGAGATTTTATTTTTTTTTTTTGTTTAAAACTGGGTTTACTATGAGTTTTATGAGCTCACCTATCTTCTAATGTTAAAGAAGCATATTTTTGCATATGATAAATAAAGCAGAATGCATTTTTTTTCTAGATGGTGGAAGAGACAAAAGATCTCAGAACAGTTAAAAAGAAAACTAATTATTTTACAGACTGAAAAATTTAGCATACCAGTAGTACCACTCTCTTTTTCAAGAGAAATAGATACAGGAAAAAAATGCAGTCTATTTCCCAGCCTGAATAAGCCCTGCAGATTGCTGAGGTTAACAGTTTCTTAGCTACTTAATTTCATAGTTATTCTTTGCAAGTCTTACCGGGAGGTTTTAACATTATGCAAAGAGGCAGTGCCTCCACCAAGTATACATGGACTATTCACTCCCATTGCCTGAGAGAGCCACAAAGAACTAGAGGAAAGAAATGTTGCTGTGCTTATCATACATGAGCTCAGTTTATTTGTGCTATAAATAAAAGTAGATCTTGATAGCGTAATTACATTTCTCAGCATTATCCTCTGCCATTTGCTTCAGAAAGAAAAAAGGAAAGGCAGAAAAAGTTGGCTTCACTATAATTTGTAATCAAAATGACTACACTTAAAACATAATTTTATTTCTCTGATTTCATTTCCTGTGCAGCTTTGTGGGGTAAATAGATAATATTATACCAAATCTGCAGGCAGATAATTCTCACATCCCCTGCACTGTCATTGTCTAGATCACTTTGCCCTCCCTCCCTGTTCTTTCCCCCAAGACTATAGGCTGTGCTTTTGATATTGCATTTTATCACTGAGATATACATCAGAATCAGAAATCCCCAAAGTGAATCAACTTTTACTTTTGCTCCTTTTTCTCTCCCACTCCCCCAAATTACTCTTTCTTTTCATATTTTTTTTTTTTTTTGCAATGTTGGATATGAAAAAGGGAAAGGAAATGTATATACAAAATAAAGTAATGGTGGTTTCCCACTATAAAGGATTAGTGCAGATTATGGTGAGCAGTGTTAATTATAGGTGGAGAAAGAGAATAGTGCATCTCTCCAATCTGCTCTTGATTTCCCCCGTGTCTGTCTGTCTGGTAATAAGCCTCCTTTAATCTGGCAGTCCCCTTGGTGAAATCAGCACCACGGACAGCAATATTGATTGCTTCTGAGAAACCATCACAGCTGCTCAACCAAATTACCTTTGATATGTGACCTTTAATGTAATTACTGCAACATCAAAGCATTTCTATAAATTATTAAAGGACTAATATACTTCATCATCCAAATATTCTATTATATGTAAAATAAACAATCACAAGTAAATGCTAGAATTTGAATTGTCTGACACTCATAAAGTGCTCTTTACACATAAATACACACCCTGCTATGTTAGAATTCTGTTTTAGGCAAGACAGTTTTGAACTGTCCAAACCAGCCTAATTAATTTAGATTAAGAGGATTCAACTAATAATTTTATGGTTTACATTCCATTCTATTTGCTTCGAAACATCTATCATTATTACTTCCCGCCCAAAACTAAAGTGCTGTAAAGACTTTATTAATCAACACATACCTACTTGGAAGTCTTTTGATTATTCCACAAGATGACTTTATGTCCCACATATAACATAGAAATATGTGAAACATATTTCTGTCATCTTACAAAGCACATCCAGAAAGTAATTACTGTAAAATATGTGCATGTAGCCACTCCACTAAAAACAAAGTGATACATAGCTAAGAGGCAAGGCATCTGAATCTGGACACAAGCTCCTCATGCCTCACCATTTCCATACATTAGCATTCATGTGCATATTATTAAAAATGATTCAATTCTGTGTTTTATAATACAAAGAACACAAACAGCAATATTGCAAAAGCAGACAAAGTTACTGGGGGATGGGAAGGTGTCTTGATTCAAAGGCTCAAGGTAGTACTACTTTGTTTTTTCTTATACCAGGCTTGTTAATTATTTCTGATTCCTCCTCAGTAGTGCTGTTTGTGTCACAGTCAGTAGAGGGTCAAGACAAGGTGTTATATATGTGTCATTTGTGAACTCATGTGAATGAGGACTTAGACCCCTGACCTTAAGAGTGCTTTTTATTTTATGGTGATGAACTATGCTTGATATTGTTGGTGCATGTTATCAAGAAGAGTCAGGTAAGTCATAAATAATTCTCTGCTATGCACATAGAAACCATAAAACAGTATCCAGGCATGGTAGTTTATCAAGAGACAAGACTGGTTTCCTTAAATAAACTACAGTGACATCATTCAGAAGATGAGTTCAGAAACTTGGCAGAAAGCTCTATGCAGAGCTAGATTGCTGGTGGAAAGTAAACCTTTATCCTGAGACAAATAGAAGTGGAAATAAAAAGGATGGGAGAAGTCAGTGCTCAGAACACTAAAAATCCTGGTTGCTATTTTAGACAGAGGATTCAACATCCCCAATTCAATCAGATCCTGATATGTTACCTCAAAGTGTTAAACAAAACAAAAAAGCCTTTTGAAGTTATCATGGTCACTATGAGCTCAATGTGATGGAAATTACATAAACCAAAGAAGAAATGTTTTGCCTGTAGTCTAGAATCAGTCAGTATAATGCCTGAAGGAAATCTTGATCCTAACAGAAGAGGTGCTTGGATTTAGTCACTGTCCAAGACAACAGTTTTGACTTCAAGAATTTCTAGATTTAAAAATGCAGACTAAGATTCAGAACTTTGGACATAAAAAGAAGTAATTAAAGAATTGAAAAGAAATCCTAAATCATAATTTGCCCTCCCTCCCAAACTCTGAGTCCTCAGTCTCACTGACCCACTCTCTTCTTGAAGATACTCCCATCATACAACTTCAGGATGAGATTTTAACCTCAAACAGAAGATAAGAGCTGCATATGTAAGCGAGCGGTCTGGCTCCTAGTGAGGGTAGTAAACAGTCTCAGTGAAAACAATTGAAATTTCTGTTAATATCTCTTGAATAAGGAATATCCTGTTCATCACAAGCATATATCTAGTTTTGACAAGGACATATTTAATTCGAAGCAGATTTCAGAAAATTTCAGGTAAAATGTTATCTGAAACATCCTTACTCAACATATTTTAATTCTTGTACATCCAATTCTATCCTTCAGAGGAGAGAGGAGTAAAAGGAAAACATCCTGTACTTGGGGGGAGGGAGAAACAAAAAAAACAAAAACAAAACCTAAACACGAACAAGAATCAAGTCACTTTCAATCTGCAGCTAACGAGTTTCTAGAAAAAAAAAAAAAGATTCAGAAGGAGTTGTCAGCTGACACAAATGTATTTTTAGGGAATGAAGTATGTATATATTTACATAAGGTATGGCCTTTAAAGCAGAGATAGATGTAGATGAGCAAGTGTGTGGGCATCTCCATACTGGCAAGGTGGCATAGAGATAGGTAAATAGACCCAAGATGATGAAAACAAGCACAGCAGAATCAACACTTTCTCCAGCAACACAGAGCTACTGATATATCTTATATTTAGTGGAAAGGTAGGTTATGGGATCACAGAACTGAGTCAATCAACACTAATAAAGGCAGACTTGTGGAACAATTTCCTCCTGGTTTAGATGCATCATAAAACCCTTAGGATCCCATTGGTTATTTGGTTCTTGATCACTGACTTCTGTGTTAGTGTAGAACCAGTGCTTTTCTAGCCACACGAGTACTGCACTCAGCTGTTTCTAACCCATGTACCCTGGCTGAATCTAAAGTCTTATCTCCCCTCCTCCAGGTTACTGCTAAACTGGAAACCCATCCCAGCACGGCAGGTCTTCCCCACAAAATACTGATTCTATTTTTAGTTCTGCTTGTGTTGTCTGAACCTTAGATCTTGCTCATGTGAATAATTTTCCTCATTATCTTGTGTTCGTCTCTCCTCTCTCTCTTTTCTCCTTGTCTCACCGCCTTTCCAATCTGCTACAGCTGCTTGAATACTAAAGTAACTGAGTCAAACCACTTTGTCATCAGGAATATGTTTTCATTCTGTGATAACTCAATAATGTTAGAGATTGTTTCTTGCTTTCTTGCTGCCACACCTTACTTCAGACAAGAAAAATAGTCAGAGGTAGCACCTGGTGAGCACTTCTAATATTTCATTTTAGTGGTCAGAATCCTAAAAAAGACATTCCTCAGATAAGTAAGGATGAATCCAGATCACAACCAGTTACTTACTGTTTTCCTGACTCTTGATCAGGAGCAAAAAGCATTTTGTTTTTGCAGGGAAACTCTTTGGGTAGTTTGGTGGTATCTTTATTTTATTAGCACAATGCAAATAATGAATCATCCAAGCAATTGGAGACATTATGCCTTCAAACTCAAGAAGAGAACTCCATATGTGATCCATTTTATTTATTTAGAAAAAACAAACAAACAAAACAAAAAAAAGGAACAAACAAAATTTATCAATCTGGACTCACCCCTGGCAGAGTCTTCTGTTCATGCAGGGCACTCTGGGCCTTTAGAGCAGACTCCCTTTCGCAGTACGTTAGGAAGGCACAGCCTGTAAACAAAAAGCAAATCCTTGGTAAGAGCAGTGCTTCAGAGAGGATCTGTTTAAAATTGAAACACAAAACAAACCACTTTTCTGTCATCATCCCATTCCCAGTAAATCGATCATAAAAATATCTTCTTAGTAGGTTAATAGTGAAGAGTCAAGAAGTGAAGTTATCATCATTGATGAAAAGTAGACCAACACCTTGGCTCCATGTGCTTATTTCTGTCTGAATATTTGCTGAAGTGTCAGAGAGCTGTACAGGATTGGAGATCTCAAAGACCCCACATGGCAACAAGGTGGGGCATGTTATTCCTATCTTTCTCCAGCAACAGTACTGGGAACAGGCCTTTTACTGTCATATCATGGTAAAGGTCTCGTGCTCTTCTTTTGTATCAAGTACTTCAAGTAAAAGGCATATAAGGACTTGGGATTCCCTACTGCAGTGGACTATACCTATTGTTTGACCTGACTTGCACACACAAGTAGTATCCCTGTTTGTATTACACCACAAGGCCACCATCCCACAGTAGCTGATGCAAGGTCTCATGGGCTTCCAGACACACAAAAAATATAAACACAGCAAAACCCAATCAATCCATCCAAAACATCCATGATGCTTTGCAGATCATTAGGACTTCAGAGGAGCTCCAACAGATCATGTATTTGATTCTTTCCAAAAATTGTCTTGCCAGCTACAAAGGCTAAAGCCTTGCCATAGTAAGGCAGAGCAAAAAACCCTGCTCTGCCTTTTCTTTCCACCTCCATGCTTGCCTTCTGGTAAAGCTGGTCAATGCTGAAATGTGTTATAGCAATTGTGTGTGTGTCTGATATGATCAGATAATTCCTTCTTACTGCAGTATACTGAAAACCTGCCAGTTCCTGCAGCAAAAGAAGTGCTTGTTATGCAGAAGACATTTTCTCTGAAGCTACTACAGAATGTTGCAACCTCGCCAGCTCCTTGAGATGGAGGTATCATATCTTTCAAGGTTCAGGCAGTATGTCCGTCAAACTGTGGGCATCTTCCAAGAGCAGCACAAGTATAGAGAGACTGCCAAAGAAACAAATGTGTCCCATAACCTCATCTTGACTCACTCACCTTTTCCTCATGAATATAAAATATATTCAACAGGCGAGTAAACAATGGAGTATGAACTTTTTCAGCTCTGATCACCACTATGATTCAATGTTCACGGTTTTATCCAATAGGGTTTTGCCCTATTTCTTACCCTATATTGTTTTCTGAAGGTCTTATTACTTTCAATTTATTCAAACCAATCACATATATTACCTCTCAGCAATTGAGACTCAGAAGCAGAAGATGACAGTCAAGGAATGTGACTGAGCAACAGCAAAATTTTGCATACTCTAATTGGAATTATTTAGATTTGTTCCCCTCTAAATAGATGAGGTTTTGGTTAGTCTGCATCTTCAAGAAAAGAGGAAGAAACTAGCAGAGAGTTTATAGCTCTTAGAAGTAATGGATTTAAAAGGATCCTTAAAAGTCACCCATAGTTTGATAGTCAAATGGGAAACTATGCTTAAATTTAATTTCAGTGCTAAATCACAGGCTGAGAGCTCTCTGTTGACTAGACACAATAAGAAACTCTCCCTTTAGTAGCAGACATGGAGCAGCTGATACAGTCTAATTAGGCTCATCATAGTACACTGTTATAGAGATAAACTATGCAGTGTAAAGCTCTCATAATGATAGCTATATTTTTCTCCTCATTGTGATGGTCATGACAACAGTTCAGGGTAACAATGTCCTGCAACTCCTACCATACCACAACTGTAATTCAGACTGAGTAGACAGACTACTCCTCTCTGAGGGAGCAAAGTTTCCTTCCAAGATGCCCATAAAGTGTTTGTGCAGGCAAGCACTCATCAGGGAGATTTCCTTGTTAAGTGCTTTCCAAACATATTTGTGAAAGTGGTAGAAGTACCAAACTCACAGAAACAGTGCTTAGTAGAACGCCTCCTAACATCACTGGCTTCCCAAACAAGGTGTTAAGGACAGAAAGACTTTAAAATGGAAATGAAGAAATCTAGTCTCTTATATGGTCCAAGAAAGAAACAGGTTTTCAGATACAAAAAATGTCTTGTGAAGATTTCTTTCTTTCTATTGCCATTCATATATCAAGTGGATGAATCACATTGTCCCACTCTTCTTGGCCAAAAAAGTAATTTGTTTGGAAAAAGAAATTATTTATTTACTTTAAATAAATCCTGATTGCTTAGAGACATTAAGAAGTTCCATCCCTGCAGTGGCTAGCTGGATTAAATTAGATTAATGTGCATAATGGCCTCAAACCTGAACTTGAAAAGGCCAGTTCATGGTAGGGTTTTTGTCTTTACAACAGTCACAGTGCTATTTTTCAAAAACATTAGCATGTGGCTTGCAGTAAAATAATACGTTATTCCATCCGTCAAGAATGTCCATATTTCAGCTTCCTGTGCATTAGAACAAAAAGCAATAAGACTTCTTCCCCCTTCCTGAAATACCAAAATACCTGCCCTGTCCTTTAAATTGTGATGCTTAATGAAATGACAACTGTAGTACCTTTTTCAGTTGTTAATTTTCCTAAGCTACAATGGGCACTCATATGACCCCTACAATGGATTTCTCCTTCCTGGAGACAGATATTTAAACAACAGAACACTGAACACTCAGGTTAACTCTACAGGACTAAACAACCAAGTCTTGAAATAATGGGTAGAAATCACCTATACTGGATTACACAGAGAGAAAAAAAAAAAAAAAGGAAATCAAAGTGGGGAAAAAATGTTGGGGTGGTTCGTTGGCTTTTTTATGTTGTTTTTTTTTGGGGGGGTATTTTTTTTTGTTTTGTTTTTTCTTTTTTATTTTGATTACTCAATTGCAAAACAATTTCAGAAAAAATCAGTTTTCCCCACTGAAATTTTTGCTGGTGTACAGAACCACATATTTCACAGGAAAAAAAAAAAACAAAAAAAACAGCAAAAAAGACCACAAAACCAAAACAAAACATTTTGATAGTAAGCCCTCAAGTAGCTCAACAGCCCACTTGCCATTAGCTTCTTGGGCTGGATGTGAATCTGACTTCTGGGTGAAAGGCTTCATACTCCATTACAAATCATTTGCACCATCCAGCCCCGTTGAAAAACCTAAGTTTAACAGTATAATGAATATTTCTGAACACACCTTTTAAGGAAAGATAAAGTGAAGGTGATGCATTATTTCTGTCATCTACTTGTATGGGAAATGACTGAGTGAGTGCAGTCCTTGAGAATTATAACTGAATTTGAACAAAAATATCTAATTGACTAATTATTGATAATAAAGGATTTGCTCATAGCTGCTACTAATTTCAATTCCATTTCTCACAAACATGCCAAGTTTTCCAGACATGTGTCAATCAATTAAAAGATGCTTTGTTTAGATTGTCTTTCCAGCTGTTCATTTGCAATCAGTGGACAGCTCATTGGGCTAGCATATAAACATCTGGAAACTCCCAGCTGGCAATTAACTCTCAACCTATTGAACTGCAGTCTCTTAGAAACATGAGGACATATCAAGTGGTCTCCTGGGAAACAAGGTTGTTAAAGAGAAGGGGGAAACAAAAACAAGAGCTCGAGATGAAAACTAAAACAAAAAAACAAACCAAAAAACCTAAAAAAAAAAAAAAAAGCTATATTTTAATTTTATCTCAAGGGAATTCAATAACATAAATAGTAATTGCACAGAATATAGAAGGATAATGATCTTGCTTATGACAACTTCAACCCCACAGAAAGTTTCTTGAAGATTTTTTGCCTAAGTCTGGGTGACAAAGCAGTCACTGGACATATTCTGACCTGAACAGAGTAATTCTGGAAACCAAGAGTCAGCTCAAGTTGCAGAAGGCAAAACAGAAACTCGGAGAATGAAGTTCCACCTGCTGTAGAAGATCAGTTTCAAGATCATCTGAGGATCATGGAGGTGCAGAAGTCCATAGGACATGATGAGGTGTATCCACAGGTCTTGAGGAAAATAGCAGATGAAGCGGCTAAGCTACTATCTCTCCTATTTTAAAAGTCCTGGCAGTTCAGTGAAGTTTCCACTGACCAGAAAAAGGGAAATCAAATCCCAACTTTTAAAAAGGGAAAGAAGACCCATGGAACTGCAGGCCAATCAGTCTTATGCTGGTGCCTGGCAAGATCATAGAGCAGATCTTCCTGGAAACTATGTTAAGGCACATGGACAACAAGGAGGTGATTGATGATAGCAAACATGGCTTCACAAAGGGCAAATCATGACTGACAAATTTGGTGTTCTTTTAAGGCAAGGTTACAGCACTGGTGGGTAAGGGATGAGTGGACGATGTCATCTACCTGGACTTGTGCAAAGCATTTGACACTGTCCTGAACAACATCCTTGTCTCTGAACTGGAGACATATGGATTTAACATATCCTGGGCTGCATCAAAAGGAGCATGAAGCCTCATGTAGGGAACTGCATCCATCTCAGTTGCAGGCTTTGCCTCCAGTATACATCTTCACATCAGCTTCCACCTCCACCTCTAACCTCCCAGTTACCTTAAGTATATACATTATCTGTATCTTAATTAATGCTTGTTATATTTGGTGGGAAATGAATATGATGCATACTGGAGATCTATTATTAAATGTAATTAAGAGATTTTTTTCCTCTTTCTTTTTTTTTTTTTTTCCTGGCAGACAGCCACAGGTATCCTGGCACAGGTTCTCTTTTTTGCCCATTGTTTAGATCAAAGAACAAGCACTTAACGAGTTATGACCCTTTAGTGCTGTGATATGCTTCGGTGACATCTTCTGATTTTATTAGAACTAGATAACCTAACACAAAGCACGCCTTTAGCTTTTCCATACATCTAGTTCTAGATGCACTGTCTAAGAGCTAGACAATAACCGTGACCATTTCCAGGTATTTGCTGTCTGTCCAAACAAGGCCATTAAAGATCTGGTATAAATCTAATGAAAATATACTTACAGACTGCAAAAGGCTTTGG